GGCTGATTGCGGCATTGCGAGATGCTTCCGCTCCGCATGCTCCGCTCTCGCCTGGCGCTTTTCGAGGAAAGTGGCCAGGCTCGCGATCCTCAGGGTTCAGGACCCGCGTCTGCCGAGGCAGCGCGGAGAATGCATTCCTGTGGATCGCGAATAGGATCTCTACGGGGTTGGAGACGGGTCCACGGATCTTATCTCCTCCCTTTCCACGAAAAGGTCTGGCGCCACCGGCGTCAGACCGGTGAGGGCAGCCCCAACCGGGGTGGAATGGTGTACACCTCATTATACAGTGCCCTTTCCATCTCGGTGCCCTCAGGGGACCGTTCTGCCAACCCCGCCACCCTTGGTGCTTCGGGGCGCAGCTTCTCCAGCGAGCTTCTGGCGCAGCGTCAACTCGACATTGCGTCGGACTCGCGCCCTCTGAGGGGGGTTCGAAAACAGTCAGTTCGGGTGGTTCCTGCCAGTATGCTTCAGGTCCCCGAACTGGCTGTCTTTATTACACCAGAGGCCAGCCTCGAGGGGCTGGTTCCCTTGGTAGATTTTCTGGCAGCGCGGAAGCTACTGCCAAATATATCTCTATGGGTAATGGTAATCTCTCTGGTAATGGAGCAAGGGGTAAAGGCACTGTTAGCAAAGAAAGCTATTGAGCAGGTGTACTCACCCGACATTGCGTCGGGTCTTTACAGTCGTTATCTCATTGTTCCAAAAAAGGATGGAGAGCTGCGTCACATACTAGATCTTCGTCTGTTGGAGTGTTTGGTGCTGGAACTCAAGTCCAAGACGCTGACACTCAAACAGATCGTGACTCAAATCAGATCCGAGGACTGGTTTGTCACGATAGATCTAAAAGACGTATACTTCCATATCTCCATCCTCCCTCAGCACAGGAGGTTCCTGAGGTTTTCTTTGGGGCAAAGAACACCAGTATCAGGCACTTCCTTTCGGTCTAGCTCTATCACCCCGCACATTCACGAAGTGTGTAGACGCAGCTCTGGCCCCGCCAGGCTGCAGTGTATACGCATTCTGAATTGCATAGATGACTGGCTGATTCTAGCGGAATCAGAACAGTTAGCGGTTCGGCACCGAGGTGTCGTTCTCGCTCATATGCAGATGTTGGGGTTAAGGCTCAATGCCACGAAGAGTGTGCTTTCTCCAGTACAGAGAACCACTTTCCTTGGTGTGGTATGGGATTCAGTGACGATGCGGGCCACTCTGTCTGGGGCTAGGCCAGTCACCCACTGTAAAACAGTTCGAGAGACTGTTGGGTCTTGTGGCAGTAGCGTCCAACGGGATACCTTTTGGCCTGCTGTACATGAGACCTTTGCAGTGGTGGCTCAGGACCAGAGGGTTCTCCCCGAGGGGAAACCCACTTCGTATGATCAAGATCACGCGGCGGTGCCTTCGTGCCTTGGTTATATGGAGGAAACACTGGTTCTTAACCCAGGGTCCGGTGTTGGGAGCTCTTTGCCATCGAGTTGCTATCTCGACAGATGCTTCCCTCACCGGCTGGGGAGCGGTATTGGAAGGCCGCTCAGCTCAGGGCTTGGGAGGAGTCATCATCTCGCTTGGCACATGAATTGCCTAGAGATGATGGTCGTCTTCAATGCGTTGAGACATCTCCTCCCAGACCTGAGGGGCCATCATGTGTTGTTCTGAAACAGTGACTGTTAGGCCTCAGGGCAGCAGGGTTCAATGTGATACCCTTTGACCTGCTGTACGTGAGACCTTTACAGTGGTGGCTCAGGACCAGAGGGTTCTCCCTGAGGGGAAACCCACTCCGTACGATCAAGATCACGCGGCAGTATCCCCGCGCCTTGGTTATATGGAGGAAACTCTGGTTCTTGACCCACAGACAACACGTTGGTGGCCTATTATTTTGGTCCCTCAGGAAATTACGCTGTCTGAGGGCAGTGTATATTCCAGGGGGGCCAGAATATTGGAACAGACACCCTGTCGAGGCAGGGGCTGAGGCCAGGGGACTCCACCCCGAGGCGGTGGAGCAAATATGGGAGTTTTATGGCCAGGCAGAAGTGGATTTGTTCTCGTCTCAGCATACGACGCACTGTCCACTCTGGTTATCCCTCACTCAACCAGTCCCCTCGGGGCTGGTTGCTATGGTGCAGACGTGGCTGAGGCTACGTCTGTACGCATTTCCCCCTGTTGCTCTGCTCCCAGGAGTTCTGGAGTGATTCGGCCAGGATGGAATAAGCCTATTTAGTAGCACCACCCTGGCCGAGCTGAATTTGGTTTGCGGACCTAATTTTTCTCCTCGACGGACCTTCCTTGGAGGTCCCGATCAGGAGAGACCTTCTGTCTCAGGCAGGGGATGCAATATTGCACCCCCCGCAGGGGATTTGGAAACTGTGGGTTTGGCCTCTGAGGCGGCCCAATTCATAGAGAGTGGTCTCTCAACCGAGGTTGTTGAGACCATTCTAAGCTCCAGAGCTCCCGCTACGAGGAAACTATATTCACTATTTCGAGAGTTTTTCACTTCTTGGTGTTACCAGCGTCAGTGGGATCCGGTTAACTGTTCAGTAAACACAGTATTCGAGTTTCTGCAAGAACGCTTTGTATCAGGTCTATGTCCTTCCACGCTTAAGGTATACGTGGCGGCCATTGCGGCTTTCCACGCCCTGGTGGGTAGTACATTTTTGGGTCGAGACCCCCTGATCACTCGTTTCCTTCGTGGCACTTTGAGGCTGAGGCCTGCAACTTGCACTAGGGTGCTGGCTTGGGATCTTGCAATAGTTCTAGAAGGCCTATCTGGGGCTCCCTTCGAGCCCTTAGATTTGGTCTCAGAGAAGTTCCTTTCTTTTAAGACTATTTTCTGCTAGCTATTTCGTCCCTATTAGAGTCAGACCTTCAGGCCCTTTCGGTCCCCACCTGCCTTGAGTGCACCGGGGATGGCCAAGGCAATCTTACCCGAAACATGGATATGTTCCAAAGGTGCCTACCATTATTCCGAGGCCTATTGTGCTGCAGGTTTCTGTCCTCCTCCTTTTACATCTGCGGACCAGGAAAGGCTGAACCTCTTGTGTCCAGTGCGAGCACTGGATACTTATGTTCATCGGACATCTTCAATGAGGAAGTCCGACCAGTTATTTATTTGCTTTGGATCACCTAAGAAGGGTCTTCCTGCTTTTAAACAGACGGTTAGTAAGTGGATAGTTGAGGCTATTTCACTTGCATACGAGTACTCTGACCAGCCGTGTCCTTTGGCGGTCAGAGCTCACTCTACGAGGGGTATGGTAATTTGGAAGGACCAAAGGAAGCGCCAGCATCAGTGGCTGCTGGTCCTGTACAACAGCCTGTCCAGGAGCCGGATATACAACGAAAGGACTCGGACGGACTGCAGGATGGCTCTACGGTGGTGATACATCAGGCAAAGTTTCAACGCCTAGTATGAGAGCGACGTCAACCTGAGTGTACACGGGACTATGAGATGGATTCAGAATGACTCTGGGACGTGTCTGTTCCATTGGGGGAAGGGATAGTGTAATGTGTAATGTGTATTGCGTTTTGGAATGTTGTCTTGGCAACTAATTAATGAGACTGATTGAGAAATGAGAAACACCGGGGCAGGAGCTGTGTTTTGAGAGACTGGGGGTGTAAAAAGGTTTAAATGGAGTGCAAAAAACGATGGACGGGGGATCAGTTCCGGTTACATTGTAAGTGGAAACAGGGCGGCGGTACTCACCTTTTTGGGAGAGGGGTGTCGTTCGCGGTCGGTTAGGGCTGGCGGCGACGAAGATGGATAGATAGTGGGTGCGGGGAGAGAGTATATAGGGACGGGAAATTAGGAGTGCCGTCACTACTGTGCTGAATGCTGATGCTATTGAATTGCAAGAGCGTGCAAGAGCCCGGCTGGACCTTTTGAAACGGACTTATGGTGGGATCTACTTTTGTGACTGAGACTGTCATGCAGACGTCGACGTGAGTAGAGGGAGATAGTAAGGGTGGGTGGGTGTAAGGGAGGGAACAGCCATAGGTACCATTTTGCACGTGCATGAGGTTGAGGTTTTAAATGAGTTTGAAGTGCCACTATCTGTAATTGATTCTGGGGTTTGTCACCAATGAAGTGAGTGAGTGAATTCACGTAGTGCTCTGTGTAGTTCTACGGCTTTCCAGGTTGTGTTTAGCCGGTCCTTCATACTAAAAGCTAAAAAACTTAAATTTTGAGTATTTTTGAGACTTAAAGTCTGGGTCTGGGACTTTTTTCCATCTTCCACAATCAAAACAAAGAAATGTAGCTAAAAAAAGCATTTGCTGGAATTTAGCCAAAAATGACTATTGACTATAAATGACTATTTTACCATAGGACAATATCAATTCCAAACACGAACCCACACCGAACATTAGGGCCTATATATTACATAAACGTAAAATTAACTTTTGTTGACCTGAGTAATTGAAGAGGAGAAGGAGAGAGCGACAGGCATGTCTGCAATTTTTGCCCAGTGGAATGTGAAAGCATTAGGTTGGTCTTTTTCTGTTAGTGTTCTTGTGTTGGCATGAGAGCATTTCGTGGTGACAACTAGCACTTGTTTCACAATTTTTTATATATTTACTAATGAAATAAAAATATTCCTAAACCAACTTTTAGCAGGTTCATATGGAATCCTGTTTCTGCCACGGAATAAAAAGCAATTGCTACTTTTTATCTCTATTCCCCCATCGCCATTCCTAGTTCATATTTCGCAATTTGCATTTTATTTCTCGCAAGTGCATATTTATATCTCACAATTGTGACGTCCCCCCTCCCCTCAGAATTCCGAGAAATAGCTAAACTCGCAATTGCGAGTTCTAAAGTCTGAAATGTGCGATTTGCAATTGCGGTAAAAAAAAAAAACCCCGAAACTTCCTTCCTAACAACCATTCTTACCTATTCTAATGCAATTTTCTTCAGATGTGTGTGAGGGTTACAGGGGTTCAGTGGTCTTGGCAGCCACAGAGCGGCGCAGGAGGGTGTGTGTGTGTGTGTGTGTGTGTGTGTGTGTGTGTGCGCGCGCGCGCGGGGCGGCTCCAGTTTCAAACACAGCGCCCATCTTTAACACAACACAACACAACCGGACAGACTCCGTCCCGTAGCGAGATACCGCTGCTCTTGTAAGTCATGATCTTCAAAACTCATTATTCTCCGTGAATGGTTGTGAATACCGCTGCTGTCTTTGATTTAATCATGTTGGGGATAGGCTACATTGTAACTAACGCGCTTTTGTTAGAATGAAACAATGTCGCGCGCGCATCATATCCTTATATTTAAGCCGCCCGTATATCGTTGTCTTAATGCCGTTTACCGCACTTCGTTTGCTCTGTTTTGTAAAGTTTTCTCGTAGGCTAGTTCGTCATGCCAGCAGCCTGTTGCTTCCTCTGTGCACTGTACGAAAAGCGGATTTTATTCCCGACAGGCCTGAGGACACAAAGAGATCAGCGCGATCTGCGAGTAACGGGACGTGCAATGTCCCACAGCAGGCACTTTTATGTACCAGGGGTGGATTTTTGCTATATGAGAGGTGCACAATAAAGCTATTATTACTTCCAAAAGCTACTTTTGAAATGACTTGGATTTTATTGTTTTACCCTTGTCCCAGATCCAGCTTAGCATTCTTAAAACATGGACATTCATAATAAAATAAGTATTACATTTTGAAAAAGACTAAACAATGAGCTAAATGAACAAAGTATTTATATAATTCAATTTAGATCTATTTTTACACAAACTACACCTGTCCCTTGAATTGTGACATCATTTCCAGGACCAGCAACAATTTTTGCCCCTAAATTTAGTGTACTTGGTTACCATGGAGACAACTGTTTCAGTGACAAACATGAGATGAAATATAAAACATGAAGAAAGTCACTTGTGAGCATTTTTGGTTAGTGTTATAAACAATGAAGCTGCAATTTTATCGAATTGTGCAAAAAAAAAAAAGTGTTTCCAATGGTGGTTTTCTTAAAAGTCCAGGGCCAAAAACACACACAAAATGAACCAAAATGTTTCGAACAGCTGCTGTGGGAACACTGTCTTATGCAGATAACATGCCAACTATGTGTAACTTCAAATAGTGATATCTCATTCATTGCTTTATCACTAATTTAGCTTTGATCTGTTTTTGAATTTTTTCAGAAATGGCACATGCATAGGTTTGAAATGGATGTTTGTATTGGTCCTGGCTGCATGTTGTCTTACTCTAAACTGTCATGGGACTATGTGTAGGAGGGAAAAGACTTTATCTCCTTCAGCTTCTTGTTGTAGGCTAGATGTTGCCGTCACCGTTAATTAAAACAGTTTGGAAGCGTCACATAAGAGGTTAATCCTCACGTAAGAGCATTAGTCCATATGAAGACAGCAGCGAGGCTAATGTATAGAGGGTGGATAGGGTTTGCAGGAGTTAATGTTATGCTTATGCAGTGGTTTTCACATGGTTTTGGTTTTTTAAATATCTATTGAATTGTGATGATTTTATACTCTTGGTACCCAATAATACAAAGGGTGAAACAAACAGTAGTAAACGATGTTCATCTTTGTTGCAAATTAACTTGTATTTAACAGAGTCTGGGTTGTTTTTTATTTATTTACACTGCTGTTCAAAAGTTTTTGGTCGGTAAGATTGTTTTATGTTTTTGAAAGAAGTCTCTTATGCTCACCAAGGCTGCATTTATTTGATCAGAAAATACAGTAAAAAAAGTGACATTTTATCACAATTTAAAATAACTGTTTTCTGTTTGAATATATTGCAAAATGTAATTTATTCCTGTGATCATTACTTCAGTATTCAGTGTCACATGATCCTTCAGAAATCATTCTATGCTGATTTGCTGCTCAAGAAACATTCTTATTCTCAATGTCAAAAACATTTGTGATGCTTCATATTTTTGATGAATAGAAAGTTCTAAAGAACAGCATTTATTTGAAATAAAAATATTTTTTAACAATGTAAAAGTCTTTACTGTGATTGCTAGTACCATATCAGAAACAGCCAAGCATCAAGATAGCAGCGCCTTGTCAACACAAAACGCTACAGACACTGTCCAGACTGCTGATAGGGCAAGTATTTTTTATCTCTGGCCAACCATTTAGGGCCTGCCGATGGCAAATAATGTATGTTGGGCTGTTTTACCTCAGCATTGGGAAATCTTGTCTACCTCCCATTGTAGTCAGTGATGATAAAAACTCACATTAGTGTGTGCTTAAACCCACAATGCAGCTATTCACTCTAGTCATGTCGCTTACAAGCGTCTCTAAGGAAACCAGACCCAGCCTCTGTGTCCCATCGTCATGGGAACCACGAGGTGGTCAGATGAAAGCTTGTCTGCCGGCGAGTCACCTGACCTGTCTGAGATTTAAGACTGGTTCTGTAATATGCAGTTTCTATATGAACTGGTACACTGTTCATTTACGACAAATGGGAGAACTAATTCTGTTTGCATCAGGGTTTTCTTTTTGAGAATTAAATTATTGTATTCCTGTAAAGCCTGACAAATGAAACAATAATAAGAAAAATATATTTTTTTTTAAATGGAATAGTTTATTAAACCTTTAGACAAAATACAAAGGAAAATCAAAATAAAGTGTGCATATGTGTTATGTTTTGTATCTTATTTGATACGTCAGGCTTTTATGGCTCATATGATACAGTGAGAATATAAAGTTCACACTCGAGGAGGAAAAAAACACCAATTTGAGGCCAAAATGAGCAAAAATATGTACATTTGGTGCAGATTTATTCTATATGGACAAAAAGTAAGATGAAATTCTGATAGCTTGGAATGTAGGCTAAATAAGTGAGATCTTTATAACAGTATAACAGACTTCTTACAAAAAATCATAAATATCAGTTGTCACTCTATATCTGCTAATAATATGTCTTAGTAAGATGACATTTAAATGCTTAGTTTTATGATCTAAGCTCTGTAGTTTAAAAAAATAATGCAATGCAATACAATGATGATTGAGAGATGAACAAATAAAAGTTTCTCAAAAGCCTGGTGGATCATATTTGATCACTTTATTTGATCATTACTTTATTTTTTCACACAAAAAAAATGGTGTATGGATAATCAAGTAAACCTAAGTTATTTAGTCCATCTTGTAATATTACTAACAATATGCAAGTAATTCTTACATTTACTTTATAAAAATCAGTAGGCCTAAATATTTCACAGCAAAAAGACATTTTACAATTTTACTAAAAGGCCTTTTACTTACTAAAAAAGTATCAACTGTCCATCAGGCAACAGCAGGCATAGTAGATAGTGTGCAATCATGTTGATAATTTAGATGCCATAGAAATTAATGTATCAAATATGATGTAGTAGATGCAATAAATTAATAGAGACAGACAAAAAATGAGTGTCATAAGTCGTGCACTTGGAGATAAATGTGAATTTTTGTTGATTTCAGGCATAACTTGAAACCCAGGTAATGAGGGAAGACATTAGAGAGAGGAACGAAGGCACAAGATGATCGAAACAATGGGTAAGTTCATTTATTTTTGGTCATAACATTTCTGTGGAAATATGGCCTCTGATGACTTATTGTACTGTGCAGGATTGTGGATAATTGGTTGTGAACAGGAGGGCATTTGTGCTCTTCTGTAGAATGAGACGGCGTGATACATCAGTCTCAGCAACAGTCTCTCTGGGTTTCTGAAACTTAAAATCCCTGTTTTTGCAGGTGAATTTTTATTTGTGGTAGAAAAGTTTAGGAGTATTACACTAAAAGATACATGAATGGAAATCTTAACCATTCTTGTTGTGCGAAGTGCAGTAAGATTGAGAAAATGAGCTGAATCTCAAGGAGCCTGTCAAGAAAATCCGAGTCATATTTCACCCCAAAATCGAAAGAAAATAAATATTTGGGAGGCTGCATTTCCTTTATGCAAAATAAAATTTTAATAATTATTATTATTAAATACAAATAATAATATTTTGCAGTGAAATTTGACCGGAACAAGTTTGCATGTTTTATAAGATAAACCTTTTTGTTCTCTTTCAAACATTTGTTCAGTATCACACTATGGGAAACGCCTGGGGCGTGACCAATCCTGGAAGAACCAATTACACCACGTCTGTCAGTTGACAGACCAATCACAACAGTGATGCAGGAGTCCTGCCTCCCTACTATACATTGCTGTTAGCAGTCCCCAATTCATTTTCGTTCTCTTTCCCGTGAAGAAGCTATTTGGAAGCTATCCTTAGCAGAACCTCGCAAGGGGTGGCCTCTAAACTATTCAAGGACCAGCCATTATCTTAGGTATGTCGCAAAACGCGGCTGCTTTTCTGAGGAAATATTCACTGTTAAAGTGAATATCTTTCTTTCTACTGTTTTTCTATTCATTGCGGTGGGGACCAGCAAATCAAGCTCTCACTTTCTTTCTCAAGCAGTTACAGCTCCTTTTTCTCTGTTACACCCTCACGTTAAGTGGTGTGATGGATTGGCCCATCCAGCCATATTACGGGAATAACTGCTAATAAGACCCTATATCGAGAGGCATGTTGTGGTGATCTCGTTAATCCCCTGGGGTTCCCATCTCTGTAATGGCGACTGCGAGCACATCCATATTTCTTCACCCTCTGTGCATAGAGTGTTTGGGAGTTAGACACACTCAGGATGCACTTTCTAATCCCGAGTGCTGCCCGCACTGCTTTCATTTCCCGTTAAGGGTTTTAGAACGCAGAGTACGAGTCGCAGTCACGCCTAAAGGGGACCCAAGTTTTTCAGCACCTCCCGTGGATATAGATGAGGTTGCTCCTCAGCACTGGTGAGAGCTGATGGATGAGATCTCTCCTGAACTTAATCCCCCTCTTTGCATCAGACTCCTTGGTGGGGGACAAAGAGGTGGAGGAGGAAGATGATGAGGTGATTGCTCGTCTCTTGGAAGAGGAGTTGGAAGAAGACGAAGAGAATGCTATCTCCCCTCCTAATCTTTCTTCTTGACCTGGCAGTGCCATAGATGAGTCCCCCTCCCCCATGCCAGGGGAATGGGACCTCATTGAAGCAGCTGCTAAACTCTCTATCGACTAGCCAGGAAGAAGCAAGAAGGACAGGACTTGTAAAAGGAGTTATATGATGGGAATAGGCTGTCATGACGCACTTCCCCCGTCAAGCAACTGATTCCAGCCATCCCAGCATGCGTTGCAGAAATGCAACATTTCTGGGACAAGCCATTCTCACATAGTGTGCCTGTTAAAGGTTTCTTTAGGCTGGACGTTCATAATATGGAGGAGTTGGGGATGTCCAAAGAAAGGAAGTTCTCTTGTTGGAGTGTTGGCACCAGCTCACCCTGTGCCTCCTATGTTGTTTCACCCCTCTCCACCTGCAGAGTTATGCAAGAACCCACTCTGGATATGCAGAACCTCAACAATCACCTCAGAATGTACAATATCAAAATGCTGACTTTAAGGCTGTTATCTCACTTTATTCGTCCCAAAACTGGCTTACGTCAGTCCATCTGAAGGATGCATATTTTCACATAAGCATCTACCAAGCACACATAAAATTTCTCAAGTTTGCCTGTCAAGGCACAGTCTATGAATATTTGATATTTCCTTTTGGTCTCTCATTAGCCCCGATATTGTTCAGGAAATGTGTCTGAGCAGCTCTGACACTGCTGAGAATAGTGGGTCTCAGAGTGTCAGCTTATTTGGAAGATCTGCTCCTCTTTGCTCTGTCACGGCAGCTGGCAAAAGATTGATACACAAGTTCTTGTATCTCATTTATAAAACTTGGGTTTCAAAATAAACGAGATCAAAAGCTGCATGGTGCCCACACAAGAGATACTCAACCTAGGTCTCAGACTGAACTCAGACCTGTATCAAGCGTTTAAGTCAGAGGAGCGCATCAGGTCAATTCGTGGCTGTTTATACATTTTTCAGAAGGGGAAGAAGGTCCCATTCAAACTATGTTTACGTCTTTTGGGACTGATGGCCTCTACTGCCTCGGTTATTCCTCTGGGACTGTTGTGAGTGAGAGAGTTTCAGCAACCGCAAAGTGATAGTATCATCACTCTGCATGCACGCTCTCCGTCACTGGAAAGATTGTGCGTTTATCGAATCAGGGACTCCACTAGGGGCAGTCTCTGAGAAAGGTTTTGACGATGGATACTTTGCTCACAGGTTGGGGTGCAGTGTGCGAGGGCAAGATAGCAAAACAAATTGTCCCATCTCGCTACAGAACGCACACATAAACTTCCTAAAACAGTTAACAGTGTTTCTGGTATTGAAACATTTTGTGCAGTTCCTAAGGAACCACCACATTTTGAGCAGATCAGATAGCACAACGGTGGTGCCATACTTAAATCTCAGGGGGCAAACATTCTCCTCAGCTTTTACAGTCTCAAGGGAGGTTAAACTTGAATTTTAGGGGTTTGCCTTCAAGGGTGATTGAGACTATTCGGAATGCGAGAGCGGCTTCAATGCGCTTTGCATATGATCGAAAATTAAATGTGTTAGAGCGGCAATGCGCATATAGACACAGTATTCCTTTTCTCTGTTCTGTGTGTTTTCTGCAGGAACTTTTAGATAAGGGCAGAGCCTTTTACACTTTTAAGGTTTATCTTGCCACATTTTCTGCATGCCATGTGGGGATTGACAGGAATACCATAGGTCAACTCCCACTCGTATGAAGATTTATGAGGCTTCTTTTACTAAAGGCTGCTTTATTATTGGCTTTCAATCGCAAAACGGGATAGTGAACTTCACGCTTTGTCGGGTTCATAACTCATGGATTACTCAAGAGAAACTTTCAAAACTAATCCAGCGTTTGTGCCTAAAGTGAGTGAGTCAGCTATCTGTTTTAAAAAAAAGAGAATAGATAGATTCGGAGAATAGTTACAAGCTTCATGTTTGTTACATACATCATTGAGTTGGTTGACATGCCTGCTTCGGACAGTATTTCTGCAATACAAGAGTTGTCTATATCCCATAGTGAGATACCAAACGAATGGTAGAAAGAGAAGTTTAGGTTACTTGCGTAACCCTGGTTCTCTGAACACAGAAGTGAGGTATCTCACCACACAGTTGCAGTTGCCCGGAGAATAGATATGCTGAGAATGTAGTGGGGAGCGCTAACAGCGATATATTTTAGGGAGGCGGGACTCCCGCATCACTGGTGTAATTGGTGCTTCTAGGATTGGTCACGCCCGAGGTGTTTCCCATAGTGAGATACCTCACTTCTGTTATCAGAGAACTGGGGTTATGTAATGGCGCTTTTCCACTGCACTGATGTGTCCAAAAAACATGGCAGTGTATGTAGCAGAAAGTAGGGCTGGGCGATACGGTCAAGTCACATTAAACTATAGGCCTAATTGTTAACTATATATTCCGAGTTATTTTGAAACCCTAATATAAAGCATGTCTCATGTTTAGGACAAATTGGATTATGCACTTTCCCCGCAGCAGCTCACTCTGTGTCCTCCACTATTTTGCAGATGTGCTCTTAATATCAAACTATTGTATATCGATATAAACTGTTTTGCCTCATCTTATTTTGTTTATTAAAAATATATTGTAAAAATTCAATATACTGCCCAGCCCTAGCGGAAAGAAAATAAAGTTAAAAGAATGTTTCACTCTGTGTGAAAGTTTTCTTGGACCTGCTGGTGGTTGTGGGATTGTTTACAGTCAGTGGTTTCTGAAGAGGTACAGAGCTCCACATACTCCACACACACTGGTTTAGTCACACTCCGTGAGAATGGAAATGACCTCGACTGGTTCACACAAACCTGGAGGCTAGAACGGCTCTCTAATGCCCTCAGCAGGAGCGCAATGCCTGAGTCCCAATAGCAGGATTCTGGGGCTTATCCTGGCGTTAGCCAGGCATGGCTGCACAAACCAGTCACACACAACAACTCAGTCCCCTCATACTGCATTTGCATACAAACACACTGCATACCTCTCTGACAGTTCAAAAAAAGGTAAATATGCTTTTTAAAAATAGTTAATTTGTACCTTTTTGCTTTCATTTGATCTGACAGTTGAGAACCCCTGTAAAAACGTGTGCTTAATTGCATTGAATGTGCACTCTTAAAAAGTATATTTTTAAAAACTGTACTTGCGGATAATATAATATTAATGAAGTCAAATGCCACTTAAGTGCATTTAAACAGAGGTCACTTTCATGCTTGTTCCTTAACACACTTAAGTACACTTTTTAAAAGTTCACTTTGTATTAATGTGAAATTAAAAGTTTTACTTTTTACATTTTAAATAATTTATATAATTTTTATATTTTAATTATTTATATTTTGTCATGCTTTAAAGAAGTACACCAATTTTGATATGGACTAATGGTGAACATGGTTTCGAGACGCTGTGGGAACACCCTGTGTGGTTGCATCATGAAGCAGATGGAGGGAGCGCGGCTAAGTTTTGTCATCAGAGTCACATACGACCTGCTACCCTCCCCCCAAAATATGAAAGAGCTGTATGAAGAAGATCCCCCCTGTTCCCTGTGTCAAGTACCTGCATCCCTAAGGC